ACAAGCAGGGCAGTCCTCTTGCTCACTGGCACCAACAGTACCCACTCAGGAGGTGGGCTCTCCTTCCTGGGAAATCAGTTACTGCTGGTACAGCCCTGCCAGTACAGCACACAGTGGGAATAACCAGCTCAGCCTGTCCATGCCAAGGGCTGAGCACAGCTCTCAGCTTTCCCAACCCTGTATTTAAAGCCCTGTTTAGGAGAGATGAAGGCAGGTGTCGAACAGCCCAGCACAGGGGTGAAGATGGGCTGTTCTGTGGGAGCTGCACTCCACAGGTATTTGCCTGCTCTGCCTGATGCTCCACTGCCCCAGGGAGAAGGGGATGGAGCCACACTCAGGGATAGCAGGAAGCCCTGCCTGCCGGCAGGACTCTGCTGGATCAGCCCATAGGGCACTGGGTCCTGGAAAACCAACTGTGGAAGCTTGGAGCCCATCAAGGAGCAGGAGTACACACCAGCCTGTCCCTGCTGCGAAACCCTTCATACCGCTGCTCCTTCCTTTTGTCATAAAAGCTCTGCACTGCCCTCCAGTTCCTCAGCAGGGAAGGGACCCCAGCCTGGTCTCCCACACTGCAGGCAGGAAGGTCACCAGCAGGGGAAGGAGGCAGCACATGGCCCCACTCTGCTGCCTACAGGGCAATCAGCCAAGGTCTGAGTGCTGCCCACACCCTGTGGGCCCAAGCCCTGTCACCACGGAGGGTGACCCGTCACACAGGTCAGCACCAGGAGGTCTCTAAAGCAGGGCTGCACCAAGCAAGAGCCCAGAGCAAGACATTCACACCAGCTTGAAAGAGTATTTTATTTCAACAAAGCAAAAGAAGTGCCAGCTGCCACACAGAAAGTGAGCAGCACAGCACAGTCAGTGCCAATGCCAAAGAGCCTTTCATGGCTGGTTAAAACCATCTCTGTCTAATGAGGGTCCTTTCTCCATCTCCAGAGGCTTTTTTCAGTTCAGAAAATGGTCATGTCAAGCCTGCACTTGCAGGTAAACCTGAGGAAAAAGGGCAGTCACTGCACATCCATCTTTTCCGGCTTGAGTGATGCAATGAATTCCTTGTACTCCTCGGGATAGAAATTCTTGTACACATTGATCTTTCTCTTAATCTGCTTGGGAGTATCCTGGTAGTAGTTCTTCTCATCTCGAGCCATTTCCTGTGACAAAGAAGAGGGTAAGTCAGAGGAGCAGCCCCAAGAGCAAACACCAACCCATCCCTCCCACGCCAGCACAATCACTCCCTGACTCACAGGGACCTGGCCACAGTTCAAAGCATTGTTTTCCCTTAACAATCAGCTGACTGCAAAACAGGATCCGGGACAGAGAGGATTAGCAATTCCCATCCTGCAGAAGGTCCAGGAGCAAGGACTCTCTGGGTTCTCCTTGCCCTGGGACAGCCAGGCCATACCTTGTAGTTTTCCCCATGGTTCCGTATCATGTACTGCACGTAGTCAATGAGGTCCCGTGACAGCGTGTTTGACTTCTTCTCAGGGAGGCTGGCCTCATATTCCATCTCTAGGCAAAGAGACAGCATGAATAGGGGAAGGAAGCAACACCTTCTCAGAGGTTCCCAGCCTCTCCCCAGGGTCAAGCCTGCCCGTGCTGCAGACTCCTGCTGCACAGTTTGGCTGCTCACGCGTGCAGGGACACTTCCCAGCATGATGGTGCAGGAAAACGGACAACACAAGAGCCCTCTGCATGGGCTGCAGGCATCCAGGCCTGTGCTCCAGCTCCTCTCCAGCTCACACCATGGGAGAGGGCCCTTTCTGCCCAGGCTGCAGAGTGTGACTGCTCAGAGCTGCCCAGCCCACCACTAAAACATGCTGGATACTGAACCATGGCTTCTTGTCACCCTGGAGCCACACACCAGCATGTTTCACAGTGACAAGAGCGCTCTTGGGGAAAGGTAGCCCAGGAGAGAATCACAAAATCATTAGGGTTGGAAGGGACCTCTGGAGATCACCCATTCCAAACCCCCTGCTATGGCAGGGTCACCGGGAGCAGGTGACACAGGAATGTGTCCAGGTGGGTTTGGAATGTCTCTAGAGAGGGAGACTCCACACCCTCCCTGGGCAGCTGTTCCAGTGCTCTGTCACGCTGAACGGTGAGAAGTTTTTTCCTTGTGTTGAAGTGGAGCTTGTTGTGTTTTAGTTTATGGACATTACTCCTTGAAAAGGTAAAAGAAATTCATGAGACAGATCTAGGGGAATGGCAGAGCTGCTGTCCTGCTCTGGCCTGGTTGGGAACCCCCAGCCAACTGCTGCCCAGGGCCTCCACAAGCCCATGAGCCTGGACAAGAAATAACACCCTTCCCTGCCCCTGGCACAACGCAGAGAGACAAAATACTCCCCAGGGCCTTGGGAGAACCCCACATGCAGCACTGACCGTTCACCACATACGGCTTCCGCACTATTTTCTTTCGTGACTGTTGTCCGTTGCTTTCCACTTCCACCCCCTGTGTTACATGAGAGAAAAGAACACTCAAGAAAAGTCTGTTTGGAAGAGGGCTGTGTCCACACACATTGCTCCCAAAACTCCTGACTGCTTCTACATGGCTGCAAGGGCCAGGAAATCTCAGCTGGTTTAAGCAGAGCCTTATATGTGACATTAAAGAGGCTTGTAGACCAGCCTGTCTTCTCAGCAACGCTGTCTGAAAGGAGATAAGTGGCAAACAAGATCACTCTGATTTTTTCCCTTGAGTGGAACCTTTGTGGGGCCACCTTCCACCTGGCTGCTCACAGATGCTGATGGGCCATGGTGGCACTGCTGCAAAGAGCCCTTCTTTGTTATCAGGAGCAACTAGGCTGCACCGTTCTCAACCCCACCTGTCTCTGTCAAATCCCAGGAGATGACGTTATTTATATTTGTTCTAAAGTCTATACTTGTTCTAAAGTCCATTATGTCTCTGTGGTGCTATAGCTCGTTCCCACGCCAGGATTTTGGTGAGAAAAGTACATAGATCAACATAAGAAACAGCGTCCACCTGCTGGAGACGGATCCAGAGCCACTTGCCTCATGCTCTGAGGCTGGCTGCTCTCCACGCTGCTTTCCCCAACCCCCCACAGCCCCTACAAAGGTGCAGCCTCCGCCGAGCTCCCCCGGCCACACTTACCAGCTTCTTCGGTATGGGGAGGGCCTTATTGGGGTCCTCGGACAGGCCCATCTCGGCCAGGTTCTGCGCCACCGACTTGCTCGGGTCCCAGGCATGGCGGATGTGCGAGCTGTGCGGGGACAAGGGACATCACGGCTGTGCTCCCCCTCCCCACCAACACGCGCTGCAGGTTCCCCACGAGGCGCCCGCTCCCACCCGCCCTCGGCCCGCGCCCATTGCCCCGGCCCTCACCAGGCGATGCGAGGCGCCGGCGCGGCGGCGCGGCGCTGCGGTAGAGGCGCTTGCGGTTGAGGTTGTAGGAGTGATTTGTGCCGCCGGGCTCTGGCCCCTTTCGCCTCGGCATGGCGGGCCCCCCGTGAGTACCCGTGCGGCAGGGCCACCTTGGGCTGTCCCGGCCGCGCCGCGGCACGTCACGGGAAATGTAGTCCCACGACCGCAGAGCCACGCGGGGTAGTGTTTCTACAGCGCGGACTACAACCCCGGCATGCACTGCACCGGGGCGGGGTACGGAAGCACCGGAGGGGCCGCGGGCTGTCACCTTAGGCCATGGCTGCCGGGCCGCCACCGCCGCTGGATCGGCCCATGCTGCCCGCGTTCAGGAGGAGGCGATTGGGGACAAGTTCCCTGCGCAAGACCGCAGAACCCCCTCGTGCCCCTCGTTGAGAGCGCGGACGGGGGGAAGTGACGGTGCTGAGTGAGAGGCGTAGGGCCGGGGCGGTGCGGCCGGTGAGTAGTCCGGTCCCTCATGAGCCCCGGCCCGCCGCCCCCCGGGCGAGCACGGCCCGGGTGTGGGAGTGCTGTGGAGCCGGCCCCGGGTGTGGGGGTGCTGTGGGAAGCGCGGGGGGAGCTGCTCCTCGCTCACAGCCTCGTCCTTTCCCCAGGCTGCCTGTGCACCGTCGGCGTCCTGACCTACGGCCTGATCTGCTTCAAGAGGGGCAACACCCGCCGGTCACAGCTGATGATGCGGGCGCGTATCCTGGCCCAGGGCTTCACCTTCGCGGCCCTGCTGGGGGGCATGGCGGTCACGGCCCTGAAATCCAGACAGTGACCTCGGGCAGGAGAGGAGCTGCGGCCGCTGGCCAGCACCCACCACCCCGGGACGGATCCTGGCTGTGGATGGAGTTTTCTGAGGAACTGTCTTGATGTCTTGGTGGAGCCACTGCTGGAGAGGCTCTGTAGTCCAGAGCACTGGAAATGGGGTGAATACACTTTGTGATTATCCTGAAATTTGGGCCGTGGCTTTTTTTTGATTCCTTGAGGGCTTATCCTGCAACACCAATGTTGTGTCACTAAGGCTCGTTACCCCTGTGAGAACTCTTGTCCCTGCTTGGTGCTGTCACAGCCTGTTAAAATCATGTCCTCTGGGTCGTGGTCTGCACTGAGGTGTGGCTTTAGTCATGCAGTGCACCAGCATTTGAGAAATGAGCTGCCCAGCTAGGAAGGAACAGCTGTTTATGGCTCGGTCTTGGCAGGACAGAGTCCATAAGCAACGGGGGAGCAGTCTGGGGAGGATGTGTGACCTGTTCAATTGCAACGGGTGAGCAATAAGGTGAATTGCAGGGAGATTGTGACTGATACTGGATTGCAGAGCATTGAGAAGCCACAACAGTAAGCAGTGTAGGGAAGCTGCCTTGGAGCTGTGGTGATGCAAACAGGGCATGAGAGATGAAACTCCCTGTGAAAACAAGTTGGGAACTCATGATTCCAAAACAGGGCCTGGCTGAGTTCTCTGGGATGTGCTGCTGCTTCGGCAGTCCCCTCCCCTCACTCCTGTTTTTTCCTGTAGGATACGTTGCTCTTCCAGCCCCATCCTCCCCGCAGGAGGCCTCATGGCTGTGGGTTCTCCTGAATGCAGCATGTGTGTCCCTAACACACAGATGACAGTGCTCCATAGGATTGGAGATGTCGGTTTATTGTAACAGATAATTTGGACAGTCACAGAAACCAAAGCCGAGGGGATGTAGAACAGCTGTGGGCACGGCTCCCCGGGAGCTGCCCCGGCCTCACATGGAGCACACGGCAGCTGGGGGACCCAGGGGCCTGGCTGCCTGCGGGGCCTGGAGGAACAGAGCATGGGATGGGGGCACGCTGTCCCCCCAGAAGCAGCCAGAGGTGCTTCCCACTGCTCTGCAGGGAAAGGCAGAGGCAGGCAGCCAAGTCCCAAGGTGTCCTGCAGCACAGCAGAGGTGCCTACGCATGCTGGAGGGCAGGGGGACCAGGCAGGAGTGATCAGCTCTATGGGCAGAGGGGCACAATCCCAACACACACCACCAAGTGACTCCCTATGCACCCATTTCCCTTCCCAGCCCACTGCTAAGCCTGTGCCCCAGAGCCACAGGTGCCTCACCATCCCCCTGATGGCTGCAGCAGCAGCAGCACAGGTGACATTCCTGTCTCTGGAGCCACAACTTCAGGGCAGGACAGCTCTGCACACTTGATTTCCAGCTGAGCAGGGCTCTGCAGTGAGGCTCAAGTGTTTTGTGGCCTCTGCTCCATGTTCCCCCAGCTGCTGCAAGCCCTTTCCAAGCTCCCAGATGCAGGGCACAAGCTCAAGGCTGTCCCTCTCCTGCTACTCAGGAGTTGTGCAGGTTCCCAGGGCTGGTGCCAGCCCTGCCAAGCAGAGGAGAGAAAGCCAGTGTTCAGGCGGGGAGCGGGACTGAGGCATCTCCCCACGATGCCTTAGGTGGGCAAAGCCAGGGGGCAGAGCAGCTGCAGACAGATGTGCAGGTTGTTCTCAGGGACAGGACAAGCCCCAGCACCAGAACTCTGCCCAACCCTCCATCCTGGGTTAGGAAGCTGGGAGAGCTTGACCTGCCCCACAGCAGCTGGACCTTCCTACCTCCTTCCCTGCAACCACACAGCCTCCATCTCCCCTTCTAGTAGCAGAGGAAGGAGCAGAGCAAAGCCAAGGGCTCTCAAAGCCTGGCATCCCACATTCCCAACTGCTGGTGGTCATGAGAGAGGGACAGAAAACTTCCTGCACACTCACCCCCTGACCCTTCTCCAGTGCCCTGCAGCACTGTACTGCCAGGACTGCAGGACAGATGGGACACTGATGCTGGAACTCCATCAGCTTTTTGGGGTGCACAACCAGGCTGGACCCCACTGGGATCCCTGCCTCAGGGATAGGACCGAGGCCTGAACACAGGGCTGCCAGGACAGCCACAGGCAGTTTTATTCCCAGCACAGGGGTGAGGTGGGAACACAGAGTGAGATATTCCCTGCTCACTCAGCCAGGCTCCTGCAGACCCTGGGCCAGGGCTTCCTCCTTAACTCAGCTCTGCCACCCAGTGCCGCTTCCCAGGGAAATGCCACAGTGATTTATAAATAAGTGTAAAAAGAGACCGATGCACCTTTTAAGCAAAGGAAAACCATGGGGAGAGTTACAACCAGTGACTCGAGCACAGCCGAGGTGCAGGCCAGGGAGCAGGCAGTGGGAGGCCTGTCCTGGGCTGGCCCCTGGAGCCACCCGACTCGGTGATCCCGGCCGTGCCCGCAGTGCTCCCAGCTGTGCCAGGCACAGCTAGCGGGACAGGGGCGTCTGTTTCAGGGAGATGAGCACCGAGCGCATCCGCGAGACATCCTTGCTCTGCTTGCTGCTCTTGGGGTTGAAATCACACAGCTGGGCCACCTTCTCCCACTCAGAGCCCGGGGTCTCCTCCTTGGACTCCTTCAGGAATGCCTCCTCCGATGCCCTGCAGAGACGTTGAGGGTTGTCACTGGCAGAACCCTTTTCAAGGAGGTTCTCCCCTTGTGTCCCTGCTTCCTATCCCCTGCTCCAGACAATGAGCTCAGTGTCCTCTAGGAGCCAGAGACACATGATGTTCAAGGCTGCTGTTGGCTGCACTCACCCAAGACATCATTCATCCAGGGGTGCTGGGATATCCATGTGCTCCCAAGACTTCTCCATCCCCCAACACCCCCAAAAAGGCTTAAGAGCCCACAGCTTTGCCTCTTCAACCAGCTCCCACAGGGGCATTTCCAGGAGCTCCACTTGCCTCCTAAGACTCTACCATTGAGACGTTCAGCTGCATCGTTCTCCCTCTGGGACCTCATCAGAGCCCAGGACCTCCCAGCACCCCCCTCCCCTTGGCTGGTCAGCCAGTGCTGGGGCAGGGACCCCCAGAGCTTGTGGGGCAGGATACTGTGTGTAAGAGGCACATACACGTAGCCAATGACATCGGCGTCCGGCTGCTGGTAAAAGGCTTTGTCAGCGATCCTACCCCAGGCACAGAGAGAGAGAGAGCGGAGCGGAGCGACAGGCAGGCAGAGGGTTAGAAAGAGAGAACAGAGGGGGTTAGTCCTCCCAAAGAGTGTGACCCACATATCGCAGCACCAGGAGAACCTGGAGCCCAACCCTGCCCCCCTGCGAGACCCATGCATGGGCAGGAGGCACTGACATCCCAGGGTGATCCCAGTGTGGTCCCAGCCAGGGTGGCTCTGCATAGCCACTGGAGCCACTCCAAGCCCTGGGGCCTCTCCCCTTACTTGGCAAAGCTCCATCCCTGCAGGGCTGGGCCCCACTGTCGGGAAAAAGGCCCCCAGACTACCCAGGAAGGCAGACCTGGCTGAACAGCAGCTCCCATCACAGTCTAATGGCCATGCTGGCCCCAACATACCTGTTGTTTGCCCGGTTCTTCTCCATCTGCTCATTCTGACGGAGGTTCCACTCCTCCAGGTCCTTCTTGGCCTTCTCACGCCATTCCTGCTCAGTCACCTTCGATGCTGCATCTAAGGCCAGAGTGAGACAGAGCCCATCAGCCAGGCTGGCACCCACTGGGTGTGCTGGGCAGCCCCTCAGCAGGCAGGGCAGCTGCAGCCACCCAGACCTGGCCCCACTGTACTGGCCAAAAGGCCCCACTGCTCCAAGGACAGCAGATCTTTGGCACAAGACACCTCTCTGGGATGCAGCAGGTGAGGGACTCAAGGGCCCCAACTGCCACATCATGAGGCGCCACAAGCACAGCCACACACGGCCTTGGGTCCTCACCCAGCTCCTCCAGGCGCTTCTTCTGCTCCTCCCTCCACTTGCGGATGCTCTCGGGTTCCTGGGTCAGCCGGTCAGCCTTGGCTATGGCTGCGTAGGCATCCGTGGGGCCGTTGGACTCCTGCGGGACATGAGCACCTTGCCATCAGCACCAGCTCTTCCCACAGCCCAGCCCAGCCACCTCCAACAGCTGGCAGGGATCAGGACTCCACACTCCCAGCACTGACAAGCCAAGATCGGAGGTAGGAAGGGTGACGGCCTGGGACATCTGGGACAGGGTCCCCAAAGCGCTGCTCAGGCTGCTGTTCCAGCTCCCAGCCTCAAGCCGTGTCACCCAAAAATACTTCCCAGCGTTCCCTGCCTTGCCTTGCCGCTCACTGCCATCACAGCTGTTGCATCCTCTGGGCAGCCCCACAGCACAGGACAGCCACTGGCCTTGGGACACATTCCCAGGGATTCCCTGTCTCTCAGCAGGGCCAAGGCAGCCCCAGGACTGAGCTGCTTCCCTCGCTCCTGTGCCAAGCTGCCTGCACGGCCCCACCAGGCCTTGGAGGCGCTGGCTCAGCACCTCCCATAACACCTTCCTGGCCAGGATGCCCAGTCATGCTGACACCAAGCTCAGCAATGGGATTACGTCTTTCTCCAAGATCCTCAATCTAATTAAGTCTGTCCCATTACTGATGTGATTATCAACCTGTAAGCCAGGCACGGGCTGTGCAGACACCCCACTGCTGGGCACCAAGTGAGGTGAAGGACTTGTCAGATGCTGGCAAAATCTCCTGTAGCCAGCAGAGCTGGGCTTCGGGCTCCCAGAAGGAGCTGAGACACAGGTGGGCTCCCCCCAACACCTCTGGCCATGGGGCAAGTGGTTTTCATGGGAGATGCTGCCAAGACAGCAAAGCATGTGTTCCATGGCAGGCCTGCCCTGGCTCTGGCCTCTGCCAAGAGATGCTCCTGCCTGCCCTAGACATCTCCAGAAGCTACCCAGGCTGAAGAGAGGGGCCTTCTGTGGAGAATGGAGGATTTGTCACCTGCTCTTAGGGCCCAGGCACTCCTTCATGGCACAGGCCACCTGCAAACAGATGTGGGGCAGGTCATGGCAGGTGGGACACATCTTCTCTTCAAAGAGAATGGAGCAGCCAGGACTCCCCCAGGAGACCCAGACCCTTCCAGGAACACCGTAGCTGTTCTGCAGCTGGATAGCAAATTCCAGTCAAAACTGGGGGCAGAGCAGCAGAGTGCTGGCCCCACACCCACCCAATTTCCCTTAGCAGCCCTGGGCCAGGGAAGGGCTGAGCTCTCACCTGAAACACATCTCCGTTGACAGTGGCTCCTCCATTCTGGAAACCAGCTGGAGAAAAAGGAAGAGAGAAAGAAGAACGCAACTATGGCAGGTGCAGGTGATCTCGGTAGGGCTGGTGTTCAGGAAAACTGAAGCAAATCAGTTCTTGGGAATTTGTCTGTGCCATTTCCAGCCCAGCACACCCATCCACAACACTCCAACAGTGCCCTGTCCTTGGTGGGATCCAGCAAGCACCTCCCGCTCTCCCACACAAGCCTCTCCAGGCATTTATGTCTTTATGGTGTTTTCACTGGTGTTTTATCTTATCTGAAGATTAGGGAAACTTCCAGGCATGGACACAGGCTGCTGCTCTGACTGAAGAAACACGTGACCAACTCCCACCTGCAGAGGCTGCTGATGGACACAGAAGCTGCTGGCTGAGTGCTGAGACAACTCTCCAGGGACAGGGCCCATGGAAATACTCCATGTGCTCCCCCAGGAGAGGAAGGCATGGATGCAGGCCAAGGTCCTTGAGAGGCCATCTGGGATGACCTGCAAGGTCAGGGCTGGGAATGAGGCACCACTGACAGGCCCAGAGAGCTGCACACTAGCATCAGAATGCCAGCCCCAGGCAGTGGGCTTTGCTGCTGGGAGAGAAGAGGCTTTGAAGGAGTCACACTCCAGGCCTTAAGCTCTCCCCAGTGACCAGCAGAGGCCTTCTCCTGGCCAGACAGCTACAGGCACAGCCACAGTGCAGCTCTGCCCCATGGTGCTCACCCCCACGACTACACCCAGCTCTAGCCTGTCTGACTGCATTTATCACTGTGGCTGTCAACATCTCTCCAGGCCCAGATCTGCCTCCACGGCCCTGTGTGCACAGCAGTAAAACCACTGCTCCACAGCCAGCACGAGGAGACCTTGTGGGGCTGAAATAGGGGAAGAAGTCAGAGCATCCCTATGCCCGTGCCGAGAGCAGACCACTGACCCCTGCACACTGGAGGCAAGAGATCAGGATTAGCACATTCTATCTGCAGGGCCTGCGACCACGATGTTCCCAATGGGAATTTCTTCCATTTTACACTCCAAAGGGCTCTCCGTCTGCGGGGACAGTGACAAGGCTGTCACTGCTCCTCAGTTCCGCCTGGATGCCTCCTACATTGCCATAGCTGGGGGCACTGAGACATGGACATGGGAGTCCATCCAGCCCGGGGAACGCAGCCTGGGCACATGGGAGAAAAATCGCCCCACGGCCAGCACATCCCAGCTCAGGATTCACGCCATATCCCGATGTTCTGAAGCCCTTTGGGCCCAAGCACAGGCGCAGACAGCCCTTACTGCTGCCGGCTGCCAGCCGGGCCCACCCGGACACCCCATCCCCTACCCGTGAGGTGCAGCACGGACCCCATCACCCACCGTGGG